GTCCCAGGGGAGCAGGCAGGGAAAGGTAAACCTGCAAGCAGCAGGAGTGGTGGTAGTGGCCAGACTGGCAAGTTAACCCTTCCCTGCCTGCTGCCCTGGGACAGACCACGTGGGTAGCCACAAGTAAGCAGGAGATGGGGAGAGGGAGGGAGGACAGTGAGTGGAGATGTGAGGTGCTGGAGAAGGTGGGCAGTGGGCCCGATCTGGGCCATTGGGGGAGAGGGGGCAGGTGGGGTATTTACAATAAGGTTGGATAACCAACTGTTCCATTTTTCCTGGGTCAGTCCCAGATTTCAGGTGTTGGTCCCAAGTGCAGGGCATAGATTAAAATGAATGTCCTGGGTGCAGGGAAGGAGTGCAGTGCCCTAGACAGCCAGCTGGGCAATCACCACAGCTGTTTTGCCTGCAGCATGCCACTGTGCCTCTACCTCTTCCTGCAGCGTGCCCCTGATTTGGGGGGGATGGGGAGGAGGGGGGCAGTATCCCGGATGTCTCATATTTCCAAACAGGACAGATGGAGGGCCACTTAAGGAGTTTTGGTGTGCTGTCGCAGGCCAGGTCAGCGTCCCCATCCTGTTTTCCCCCCCTCCGCCTTCCCCCGCTCACAACAACTCACCAAAATTCTTTAAGTGGTAGATTACGGGAGTGGGCAAGCAGGTGGGGGGGGGTCCATGGAGATCAGCCTGGGATTTTTACAGGCGGAGCGTGCTCAGCTGGGTGGATGTAATGGGGCTGCAGGTGGGCAGGGAGCAGCTTCTGGGACTGCATCGGGTCATGGCTGGGATTGTGGGGTAGTGAAAGCATGGGGCTGGGGCCCAGAGCAGAGCCATAATCTGCTCCCAGCACCGTGCTGTGCTGTCTGCCCTACAGTCCTGGCCCTGGCCCCAGCTTCCTGTCCTGCTCCCAGATGCCAATCCCTGCCCATCCCCGGCCCCATCAAATCCGCTTTACTGAGTACATCCTGCCTGCTTTGGGGAGGTGAATCTGGCTGCAGTGCTGCCCCAGCCTGGCTGTGTGCAAGCGGGCAGTGGCACTGGCCACACGTGCTACAGCCTGGGCTGTCCCCTGTGCCTGGATCAGGTGAGGCCGAAGGACACACCCCAAGCTGGATAAAGTCCCTTGGCGAGCCCACTGGCTGTACTTTGCCCACCACAGCTTTAGTGTAACACAAGCTGGGTAACATGGATTAGAGATGATTTTGCCCTGGAATGGTGTAGCTTTGAGCTGCTTAACGAGTGCTTAAAACTAGTTTCTGGTGTTAACATGTGGACAATCCAGGTGCTGCCCAAAATTACCATGCAATAAGGCCCCTTGTTTAAATACATTTAATAGCAATTTTAATATTGAATGCAAATAAGTGAGTATAGGTAAGGCATATAAAACCAAATTATCAAATGTTCATTAATAACAGAATTTTTAATATTAAATGCAAAGAGATTAATATTAAATTTACTGTATTCTAAAGTCTTAAAAGCTTCTAATCAGTGGGCAGTCTATCAGGGGAAAATGGAATTCTTACTTACTGGTAGATTTAAAAACTAAATTTCAAAGAAGCATTCATCATGGTTCATATTGCACATAGCCAGTTCATCAAGAACTAATTTAAGGCTGAAAGGCAAGGATTCTTAAGTAACCCTGGATTTTTTTTATACTTTATTACCTGGCTTAACTTCAAAACCTTGCTATAAAGGGCTAGAAAATACAGAAATGTGTCAACTACATTATTTCATCTTTAGTATTAATATGAACTCTCTCTAATGTGGTTACTGAATGTACCGTGCTTGTTATCAAGCAGAGATATAGGCTATTGAAAACTGGCATAAACTGCATCTGCCCTAAACCATATCTAACTGGTATAAAGCTACTAAGTGACTTCAAGTGACCCTGAGCCAACTTCTCTTAATCTCTTTATCTTGCCTTCTGAACCCTTCTTGCCTAAGACATTTTCTTCCCTGCTCATTTCCTTTGTCTCTCCTTCTTTTACACTAATTTACCATTAATCAGTTTAGGGTCAACTATAATCTACATAGTATTGGCTTAGAAGACATCACTAAAACTCATATATTAAAAAAAGTTTAAAGTGCTAACACTTTTAGGCAAATTCTTAGTTTTAACTTCTGAACATAACTTATTTCACCAAATATAATTTTAATGTGCATCATCAGCGGCAGTGGTTGGTCCCTTGATTTGAGAATGATGGTTTTTTAGTAAATAGGAAAGTGATTGGTAAGTTCATAGGTGACTGAGGGAGGCCAGTCCAGGATCCACCTGTTCAACTGCAAATGTGGCAAATTAGATCTGGGAGGAAGGAATAGATCCTGGTGATGTCAGGCTCTTGCATCTATCTGCCTCCATAGTGAGGCGGGTATGCTTAAAGTAATCAATGTCTTGTCATACTTCATGGTGCCATTGGGGATGATGCAGTGCTCGAGTCTCTCAGATATTGATGTTTATATTGCTTTTCTTCAGACTGGCCTTCAAGGTGTCCTTGAATCTCTTCTTTTGGCCACCTCTAGAGCAGTGCCCATTGCTGAGTTGAGATTATAAAACCTATTCTGGGAGCCAGTTTGGGAGCCAATGGGGTGTTGTGGAATGGCTTTGATGATATTGTCTCTGATGTTAGAATCAGTTCAGGAGCTCTTGAAAGTGTTCCTTCTATTGTGCATTGTAGGTGGAGCTGATTTTAAAGAATGTTGTTCCACCCTTGGACCGTAGAGAACCATTCCCTATGTACTTGACCCATAAATAGGTTTGACTGCACTGAAGGAACTCTGCACATCATGGCTATTGGTAAACATTTAAATGTTTCTTTCTTTGTTCTCCCACCCCTTGTTCTTTTGGCTCTTGAATCTTCCTCTGGGTCTTGGCTATAATGTGGCAGTAAGCTTGTGTTTACAGTTGATATCTTTCTGTTAAGCATTGAAGGCTCTCCTTTTCTGTCAATGAGAGCTTGAATTTTCCTGTTGTTCTCATCAAACCAGTCCTTATGTTTCTTTGTGGAGAAGCCTAGAGATTCTTTGCATGCCTCGTGGATGCCTTTCTTGAGGCTCTCCCACTGATAAGTGGTGTCAAGGTCATTAAAGAGGTTGGAGAGTTTCTCACTGAGGTGTGGATGGAGATGATTGATTTTTAGCAGGGTCTTCCAAGCACTGATATTGAGTCTCTTCCTTGCTTTCTTCTTTTGTTTTACAAAATTTTGGGGCAATATGAATGGACATGAGGGAATGTATCAAACAATAATCTTTCCAGCAGTCACCTGTGCTTGTCATAGCTCTGGTGATATGGACAATGATCCCAGGCACATGCTGTGACGTAGTCCATTGAGTGCCGTTGTTTGAAGCTGGGAGGGAGGGGGTGGGAGAACCATGATGTGTCTCATTTGTTTCTTTTAGCAGAATAAGGAGTTTGTTCCATACACTTGCTCAGGAGAAGAATTCTATTTGAATATCCTCCACCCCTTCCTGTCTGTGTTCCTTTCCATAGCTCGGTCTCTGCTCACTCTAACATTGAAATCACTCGGAATTATCTTATTTTCTTTGGGCACAGATGATAGGGCTTGGTTGAGTTTAGAATAGATTTCTTCTTTTGTTTTGTCATCCAGGGTCGGGGCGTATGCACTGATGACTGCTGCATGTTATCTGTTTGTCAGTTGAAGGTGAAAGGTCATGAAATGCTCATTGATGCCAATTAGACATTCCAGCATCTGAGTAACAGTCTTACTCTTGATAGCAAAACCAGTACTGTAGTTTTGTCTTTCTTTTGGCTTTTCCCTTCAAAAAAGTGTAGCCACCCCCATGCTTTGTGAACTGCCCTTCTCCTATGAATCTGGTCTCTCTGGGCACCTATACATGGGCAGTAAGGCTGCTCTGACACCTCTGTAATTGCAGCGCATTGGAGCAGACTCACTTAATCGTGTCTGCTGGAGCGTGGTAATTGCTGTGCTCCAGCAGACTCCAGTGTCTCATGTATTAGCGTCCCCATGCTGCAGAATAGTGGCAGGGTTGCTTTAACTAAAACTCATTCAATTAGCCTTAGTCAGTGCCATAGCAACAAAGTTGAGCACCCAGGGCAAAGCCCACAGTGGTAGCCCACCCTCACCCCATGCATAGATTTAGGGGGCACCCCTTTTCCCCCTCCCTCTTTCCCCCATGCTTGCCCAGGAGTGCACACAGTGGTGGGAGCCACCCTTCCCCAGTCCCCACGCCCCACTCTAATTAAAGCACTCCCTCTGCCCCACTCCCAAAGCAAGTGTATAAACTCCCACGAAGTGCATCAGTGTCAGTATGTATTTGTAGCTATTGTGAAGCTTTATTCATCCATCTGCTGTGCCACTAAGGGCCACTCCTGGTAATATTTCTCAACTGTTTCACAGCCTATTTTTACCTCCAGCTGAAAACCATAACTGGGATATAGTGATATTAACTCAGGTATAGCAATGGTTGTCACTGAAGTATTGGAGGCACTGTCAAGATGCTCAAGAAGACTAGATTTTGTTTTGCAAATTTGAATAAGAGAAGTATGTTTTCTGTACTGATCACAGGACTAATACAACAATATCTTTTGACTATGTTGATCATTTTTTGCCTAGTTTTTGTTGTGTTGTTGTTTTTTAATTTAGTATATAATCTAGAAAATGAGTGGACATTCCCATAAAATTATATATTTTTTTACTTTGATATTAAACTGAATACAATAGTGATAGGCCTCTGGCATATTAATAAAGCTTCTAGTATCTCTTTAACTGGAGAAAAATATGTACCATGTTATATGTGATAATGTACCATACCACCTGCACTGCCGCTTTCAAAGTCCTAGATCTGCCCATGCCAGGTGGCACCTGCATTGTTTTGTCAATGATGATTTTTCTCTTACTTCCTCTGTGAATGTAATCAGTTCACATAATGCTAAAATGTAGGTAATTTTGTCCATGTGAGTGTGTGTGTGTATATGTATGAATTCTGTTTTCTAAAAACTCTGTTGTGTGGGTTTTTCCCCCATAGGAAGCATGAATGGCAGAAACATGGAACCTGCGCAGCCGCAATAGAGCCTCTTAATTCTCAAAAGAAATATTTTGGTAAAGCATTGGATCTCTATCACAAAGTGGACCTCAACAGGTATGGAAATTTACTCCTGTGGTCAGTTTAGTATTTTAGCAGGTATTAGAAGCTTTGACTTAAACCTAAAAAAGCTGCTCTGCAATGGAAGTAGTGACTTGGCGCACCAGTTATTTTATTTCACAGTGCTGGTTCCCGAATGGATACCATATATACTGAAATCCAAGATGACATCAAAGTTAAGATTATCTCCTCCAATTATTAGACTCTATGCATAAAAAATTTATAAATTTGTTATAATTTTCCATATATAGAGTCCAGTTAATGGAAGGTCATCTTAAATTTGTCTCCCCTACTGCTGTGGTGGGGAAAGTAGTGACAGGGGCGAGGGGCCAGACCCCTGCCTTTTGCTCTCTGAGACCCTTGTTCCCCTCTCTTGCCTGCCCTCGCTTCTGCCTATCCCCTACCATGCATCTCCCTGCCACGTGTTCCTCTGTGTTTAAGCCCTATGGCCTTCCCTTTGCTCCTGTTCCTGTGCTTCAGTTTTGAAGTACCAAGGCCAAAAAATATATTGTTCATGTTAGTGTATTTTCAGAATAAAATTTAAGATTTTGCATACTAGTGAAGTAATGAGCCAGGGGCAAATTTCCTCTAGTCTCCTGAGAGAGAAAGATAGACTGAAATTCAGAAAAATATAGAAGAAGCTCCAAAGGAAAGAGAAGACAGCCTGAAAGGGAAAAAGTTCATCAGTGCCTGAGGTCCTAGCCACCAGGAATGAAGAATATTTTCCTTTCTGATGGAATTTTTCCTATGCAGAGGTCCAGCACATTAAATCCAGGTAAAAATTTTAACTGGGATATCAATTATCATATCCTTTTATATGTACAGAGCTGCTCCAGAGGAAGGCAAAGGGAAAAGTGCGAAGTCACAGATTGTCCATTGGATAGGGAAAACATCTCCCTGATACAACATTAGTCAGTTGCCATGAATCCCACACGTAACATAATTCTAAAGGACCAGGGGAAAAAATCCTTGAATATTTTCCTGAACTGTGTCTTTAAAAAAAATCATGTTCAAGTTTTTGCTTGTCACTGTTCAGTTCAAACAACTTAAAAAAATCTAATTCTCCTTGCCCATGCATGTCCTAAAATATATCTTCTTCCTCTACAGTCATTGTAGCAGCTTCCTAAAATCTAGTCATCGATTTTTCTAGACCCAAGTCACAAGAACGCATCACATGTAGTAATAAAACAGTTTAATAACATCTTCTTAGTAAATTGCCTGCATTATATTGTCCTGGGTAGCTATGACAATATGATTATGAAGTGATTTACAGATGGCACAGTGACCTACAGTCTGGCTTTTTACTTTGTGTGTGGCACTGTAAGACAAAGAAAGGAGACTGAAACATTTTGAAGTTAATTGCTACTGGTTTTTGTCTGCCCTCTAATATAAAAATGAGAGCATTAACTCATTGGAATAATAATGATGAAAGATTTAAATTAATTAAAAACACTTGTTAAAACGTAAAAGTCATTACAATTAGAAAAGTCAGAAGTGATAAAAGGTTTAGGTTTTCTATTTACAATGATCTTTTTCATACCTCTGTATAAATGATGTGTATGTGGGAGGCGGACAGGGACGGGACTGCCTGTGCTACGTGGGGCATGCATGTCTCAGGGGTGGCCAACCTGCAACATACATGTCAGCAATAGCACAGGCCACCCTTTGTGTGTGAGATGCAGCAGACTGGGGAGGGGATAGGCAGCATAGTGGCAGATAGAGCAAAAAGCAAAATAGCAGATCAGACAAGCGGGGGGGTGGGGTGGGGGGGGGAAGGGATGAGAGAGGCACTGGAGGAGGGTGCAAGGCTAATTTGTAGCACATTTGACAAAAAGGCTGGCCCCCACTGGTCTAATGTATTTCTTGGTGGTAACTATGCAGGCTGTTGTAAGGATTATGTTGTATTGGCATAGATATTGACCTGCAAAGAACTCAAGTGTCAAATGGCTGTGTGTGGCAGCTCCTCTGTTGGGAAGATGTCTTTACATATCATTAAATTAAGGCATATAGGATCTTGTGAGGTGCTGAGCACCATTGGTTCTCACTGAACTAAATTTGAGGGCTGCTGAACACTTACAGTTCCTCCTTAAATGAATGGGAAATGGAGGTATTTGACAACCTGTTGGGATACAGGCCCAGAGACTTCATTGGCAGTTGAAGCAATTTGCTTCCTCTTAGGATCAGGCTTGGAGGAAGAAGATCCATTGATTCCCAGTTCTGGAGGCTTGTGCTGCTTATTCTAATGCCTCTTTAAAGTATGCTTCTGATACTAAAAGGCCTAGAGCAGTAGAAACCAACCTGTTTCGTAAGTGTCACAAATTCAGCCCTGTGCCCTCAAGTGCCATTCTGATCCCTTTCTCCTGCCTGATCTAATGCTCTTCTTTCTGCTTCATCCCCTATCTTTAGCTGTGCTCCCTGTTCCCTTCCCAATCTACCACATGCTACAGAGATGCTACCTGATCCACCTGTGGCACACATGCCATAGATTGGCCACCCCTGGCCTAGAATGCTAGTTGGATTATTTTAGGGTTAGTGGTGCTCATCCTGACTTCCATGTCAGCTATTTTGCTGTCCTTCATTAATGCAGAGTAGCTCTAAACCAGTAAACCATTCCTATGTAATTGAAACCTCAACTAGCATGCAGTGACCATAACTCGTCCACTTTTTCCCCGTGGTTGAGGAAAAGGAAGGTAAACTCTGAAGGTTGCTCTAAGTGCAGAAGTGCATCTTCCAGATGTAACTTAGAACGATTTTTGCAAAGTATTTTGAGTTACAACATTACCCCAGACCAAACAAATTCACTTCTGGTACCAGGGGGGAGGGGAATCTAGCTGTGGGCTGGGAGCCTGCAGCCAGGTACCAATGGCTAGGTTCTCTGCCAGTGCTTGCCATTTTCAGAATGGGAGGGGAGGAAGGGCAATGGAGGAAACTCATTTTTGGAGCTCTCCAGCTGGTGCTAAAGGGTGGGTGAATTG